TAATTTCCAGGTGTCATAATATTTTATCATATGTTCATGGGTCTCAGAAAAATACGAAAGTTGAAAGGATGTTACATTATGATATTGCTCAAGGGGCAAAATGGTCTTATGACATTCTGAATGATTTTATTGACGTACATTTCATGCATTGCATCCACGTGCATTGACCCACGACCAGATGACGTTATATACGTGTATATATATAAATATATTTATATGGGATATGGGAAAAGGTTATGGCGTTATATACGCACCACCACCTGATCAGCTGATATATGATGATGATGTTGCCCACAGTGGCTGAAATATGATTCAAACGGCGTTATATACGCATATATGGGTATGTATTCAAATGGCGTTATATACGCATATATATATGTATGTATTCAAACGGCGTTATATACGTGTATATATGTATGTATATATATGTATATGGGATATGAGAAAGGTTATGGCGTTATATACGTACCACCACCTGATCAGCTGGTATACGATGATTATTCTGTCCACAATGGATGATATGATATGATGGGATGCCCTCAAAGGCTGATGATGTTATGAAACATGTACCTATGCACGACATGACATTTATACGCATATGCATGACGTTAAAAGTAACTTATGATTTACAAAGTTATTCTGACTTACAGGATGAGTCATGTACTCTATATTTCTTCCATGTCTCTTATGTACTTATTTATATGCCTTACATACTCGGTACATTATTCATACTGATGTCCCTTTTGCCTGGGGACGCTGCGTTTCATGCCCGCAGGTCCCGATAGACAGGTCGAGAGCCCTCCAAGTAGGCTATCAGCTCAGCGGAAGATGTTGGTGCGCTCCATTTGCTTCAGAGTTGCTTGTTTGGTTAGTATGATTTAGACATGTATTATTTGGTATGGCGAGACTCTATCCCGACCATTATGATATTTATGTATTCTTAGAGGCTTGTAGACATATGTCGTGTATGTGAAAGATTGTACGGCCTTGTCGGCCTATGTTTTGAGTTTATAAAAGATCATGTTGCCCTATTAGGCATGTATGTCACGTGTATATGATGATGTATTAAGAAGATACGTTACGTTGGTACTCGGTTGAGTAAGGTACCGTGTGCCCGTCGCGGCCCATCGGTTTGGGTCGTGACAGATACGTATAAACATACGTAAAACCCTTCTTGTAGAAGGTTATCCACTCCGCCAGATCAGGAGCGATGATATTCAAATCTTGACACCTACAGTTTTCCTTTTACAATAGTGATGCTTAAAGGATGGATGGAAGAAAGATACACGCCAACAACCCATGTGATGGGGTTATTAGAAAGGTATTTCTCTTCGAAGTCCTTATTTATAGTAAGCTTTTTGAGAATGATGGTGCTCACCGTGGGAGGAGCAACATCATCAGTGTTTTCTTTGTTCTTTGAAAGACTAGAGTTTATAAAAGAGAATGCTATTGTTATCAGAAGAGAATAAGGTTTTTTTTTTCTGAAGAAGAAAATTAGAGAAAATAAAAAACAAGTGTGAGTTGAGTAAAGAGGGTTTGAGAGAGTTTAAAAAATTATGAAGTGTAAGAGGAGAAGGTTGATGCATATAAGTAAAGGAATAAGCAGCTAAGATCGTGGGCATAATTACCTCGACAACTAGCAAGAGTGTTGCTGAATCATGGGATGATGTGTGTTCGGTGCATTAAATGCGGAAAGACGTGCGTCTAATCAACCGTTAGAAACTTTTCATAGGGTGTTGGAGAATTTCCCGCCAAGAAAGGTATCTCTACCAACTTCCTGACGACATAAGGATGTGCCACCGGAAAGTAGGGGGACTATTTGTATATGGTAAAATATCTTCATATTTAATGCTCGCATAATAAGATGGCACGTAGAGCTGAAAGCAGAAGACAATCAGGTCCGAAGGCAACAATCTCGTTTTGTTCCCAAAGGGAATGATGTTGATGAAGACGAGATAAATACATGCCACCCGATAGCATTTAATTAGAAAATATTATATAGCATTAAGTACGTAGTCCGCTATAGAGAATATGACATTCACTGCTTTCTGTTACACATTCTTCAATGGTCCCCATAATTGTCATTTAAGAGGGGCTTGATATTAGAACCTTGTTCCCTATGTGCAACTATAAATAATGAGCTCAAAAACCATTGTAAGGGGGGATTTTCTAACAAACTTATGCTATACACTGTTCAAAGCTCAATAATATTTTGTCGTCTTGTTTATTAATATTGTTACCTTTGCCTCAGGAAAATCTGCTCCGGGAAACATGATTTCAGCTGTCTTACCTTGATTTCAATTCTAAGTCTTACATTCTTATTTAATATATTTATCATTTTTGAGATCAAATCAATTCACTTGTCGATAAACCACATATAAATTCAACTGTACCATTTTATGGGTAAACACTTACATGGTTGGGTATCAAATTTGGTTTTCATAGGAGATGAAAACTTCACTTCTTATATTTTATACTTTTAGTTGACGTTGATGAAAATGCTCATTAAGAGGCATTAGTCGTTATACCTTGAGGTTGTGCTCAAGAATCCTCAATATTTCTTTATTGGGGCTATTTTTCCAAGCTCAAGTCAGAATTATTATGTCCGAATAAAAAACTCTGCTTAATTCAAACGATTTGAAATTGACAGAGATGTAATTAAAAATCTTCGGTAATAGTGTTGAGTTGCATTTTTTCACTAATAACACAACCTTTTTGCTTCACACTATCAAAGAGAATTGCCTATTATAACTTCTATCTCCGCAAAAGATTCACTTTTTCAAAATTAATCCATTCAATTAGTTGCCCGTTCTTCGTCTTACATTCTCATATTACGAGCTTGTTCTGTCTCCTAATAAAAGTGTTTGCTTTTATTAGGAGACCAAAAATAAATGAAAAAGGAATTTAGAGGCGTGTTTTGTTTCCTTTGAGTTATTTTTATATTGGAATTTTTTCATTCATATACATTATCTGAAACTTTATTATCCTTAATGTCCATGTTTAGTTAATTACCCCGCATAAATAAGTTTTGTTTACAAAATATATACAATCCATCTTAAATGGTTATAAACATAATTGTTTTGTGATAATGTAGGCAACAACAACAAAGGGATAAGAAGCCTATGTTGTTACAAATTATGTTCTTAAGGTAACAAAAGTTATGTCCAATAACTTCTTTAAATTTTCGACAATGAAAAGGTAGAAGAAATTTGATAACAAAGTGATTTGTGTATTCTCTATCTGCAGCAGAGGGACCTATGTTGTTACAGAAAGTTTCTTGGTTTGAAACATTTGGAATTGAAATGGCTAGTTTTATAAAAGATGGTTTTCTACAAACATTGAGCTTGCGGAGAACGTTTCCTTTGACATTTTTTATTTTGTTTGGTTGTTGGATACTAATTTGTTTCCTCGAATGCAATTTAATATGCAACCAAAACGTCAATGCATTGGTTTTCTACCTCAAATATTAGTATATTCACGAAATAGACTTACTACGTTATAACTTGGATAAAACATTCCATATGATCTGTGATTATATATATATATAGTGGTAGTGATAATGTCGCTTATGATTGCAAAAGAGTTGAATGTGTACGGTTTGATAGGTCGAACTGTAATGACACCCTCTCATCTACCCCTACTAAAAGTTTTTCCTGGCGAAAAAACAACATTTCCGAGTTCTTTTGTTTAACATTGCAGTCTCCACCTGTAACATATCCAAAAAAGGTTAGTCGCTCATAAGATTTCCGCAACAACACGAAGGTGTATATGTTGTCCGGTGCAAATAAGTAATTAAGAAATTGATATTATTGACGAAGAAAACCACTGTTCTTCTCCACTTCCTTTTTACCTTAAAAGGCTCCCAATCCATTAATTAATCTACCTACAACATCATATAAACTGAAAATAAATTTTATACAACTAATTATATAATATGTAACTTATTTATAACTTATCAACAACTTTCGTACATACTAAAAATAAAATTCATACAACTAAATATAATACGCTTATTTACAACTTATCTACAACTTTCATACATTACTTCTATACAGTTTAATACAACTACAATATTATACAACTTAAATACATTTTTACTACAACTTTCCTACAATTTCGTAAGTATAATGTATGCCATGTCTTCTCCTTCTTCTTCTTCTTCTTCTTCTTCTTCTTCTTCTTCTTCTTCTTCTTCTTCTTCTTCTTCTTCTTCTTCTTCGAGTTTCAATATGAAATTCAGCCAAAATCAAGTCTAGTCTTCACCAGAACACCCTCAAAGTTGAGATATAAACTCCAAATCATATTTTCAATTGTTTGCAACAACACCCAATCCAAACAAATAATGGTTTTTGAAAACCCAAATTCGAATTCAAAACTTCAAAGCTTTTTCATGACTGTCAATGGTGGAATTGTTGCTTTTTTTTCATTTACTTTACATTACTGGAATTAGGGACTAAGAGATAGAGAGACGTAGAGAGAATCCCAATTCTTTGCAACAACACCCAATTCAAATAAATAATATTTTTTAAAAACCTAAATTCGAATTCAAGGTTTCAAAGCTTTTTAATGGTTGTCAATGATGGAATTGCTGTTCTCTCGTGCAAGATACGTGGGGGAAGAGGTGGGATATGGAGAGAGAAACGTGGGGGGAGTGGGATACGGAGAGAGAAACATGGGGCGGTGGGGAGATTTGTAACTTATAG